CATAATCATGGCGACTTATTAATGCAGCTCTAAACACATCCTCCATTCATCCTCCAGGAATTTCTTTTCGAAATTTTGTCAATTCCTTCATCCTGCGTTGGATTCAGCACATACAGGCAGTGCTACAAGAAACAGAATGTAAAAACCCTATAAATTTCACAGTGTGCATGCCAATTTATACTACCTATATAGTTATTCCTTCTGAGACAAACGAGGATATCACTATATCAGAAACCTGTTTAGTTGAATGCAATTTCAATTAATGGAACTTTTTAATTTTTAATTTACTTAATTGTTTATTTAATCCATTTTTAGTCACAATATTTTAAATCTTTCAAATTCTCACTCAACATTTAATCATTTGTAAAAAAATCTAACTTAATATTACAAGTATTTTCTCAATTCTGTGATAATACATCCAATCACATCTTTATAAATATGGGTGAGCTTTGGTACTCTTAGAATTGGCTCAAAGCTTTCCAAAAACGAAGCGAAAGAGTCCAGAAGATTTAGCTTTATTATACAAAGGTGATTACAAAGAGATTTGAAGATTCGATCCTCTGTCATTATAAGGCGTTTCTCTATTTTTAATATAAAATTATATAATTAATACAATAGGCCCTTTTATTTTTGGTTAAGTTCTACTCAGGGTATTCTTTTCTAAATCTATTGTCTTAATAGCGAACTTCAACTGAAAAATATTAATGAACATGAATGATCAGTTAAGCACTAAGCTCCCTGAGAGAATAAACATTTAAGTCTTCTTGGAAAGCATAACAAAAATAATTAAAGATTATATTTATCAGGAAGTAAATATAGAAAACAGATTACAAATATTTGTTGTTATTGAAGTTTACTTTAATTTTTTTCCTTCTACTTAATTTGATGTTGCACAGTATGAATTAAACGAAGCAGGTACTTTCCGTGTGAATCTGTTGCAAAACTTGTCTGCAATTCTTTTATCGCACTTATTTGTTGATATAATAACGCTTTGTAGTGCCTTAGATACATGATTATGAATAAATTCCACTACCCTTGTGATGACCACTGGCAAAATCGTATAAAAGCCATCTCAAACGTATAATAGTTCCTCATTTTTGCTCCATTTTGATTTGATGAGGTTAACAGGGCTTGCCTCAGCTGCCAGTGCGACGAATTGTGCAGCTTCACATGATGAGATGGGAGGACTTTTCGACTCCAAAAAAGAGTGAGTTTTTCGATCTACTGAAAGCTTATTGGGAGGAGTGGTTGGCCCTTGGAAAACAGGACAATCCAACGCAACCGCAAGCTGCCCAGAATTATCAACAAGAATCAGGCCAAGAACAGCAGATAGGGTCTCTGAAACAGACTAAAAGTAATGCTTTGGACGAGAACGCCGGAAGAGAAGAGGCCAGGGTCACGTCAGCCGCTTACAGTCCTGTACTAATTCACTGTAGGCAAGTGAGATAATGTCATTTAAACTGAAACTGACGCATGATATTTATTCATTTGACCACACACACATTCGATTATAGCCCTTAAAAAATAAATATGTAATAAATTATCGCCTAGATGACTTATAATGAATATAATAAATCCATACCATGCAAAATGTCCCATTATATTATCCTTATTATTATTATTATTATTATTATTATTCTCAATATCCTGATAAATATCAAACTTAATTGCTACTTTCCTGTCCTAAAAGGCCTAGAGACAAAGCCGATTTAAAGGTAAACAGGCAGGACTCATCTCTGAAAGCAAAAGAAGGTATAGGCGGACAATTACTTCGGAAGTTTACAATATGTAAAATTAATCAGCTCAAAATATTTGTTTGTTTTAAGAATATGATCACTTAAGACAAGATATCGACGAATAATAATGTGTTCTCATAATGATATTAGTAGGCCATAAGATGCAAATGAGTTTTAGCTGGTCCTATATCTCAAAATGTTTTCTCATTCAGGCTGAAATACGGTTTCAACTTTCCATTATAATCACCACTTTTATTTATTAAATATGATAATATCTTTCAAATCAGTCAAAACTTCTTAAATACAAACTTAGTCTTGCTGAATTGTAAATTTTAGAAGTTGCCTGCAACCAAATTATAAATGCCACAGATTGTGTTGATGAGATCCACAGTCCGGTCTGGAAAAAAAACCTGTCAGAGGTCCCTAGGTAACCTAGTGACCTGGAGTTACAAATTTCTTATTTAAGGATAACTTATAGATTCTAGACA